CAAGCCTTTCTATTTTTCTAGAAATCAAGGAAACCAAATCTTAGCCCTCGGCCCAACTTGCGCTGGCTCGGCCCGCCACGCGCGCGCGGCCCAGCCGGCCAATGGCCCACGATGAAAGATAGACCTGCGCGCGATGGCTATTACGCGAAAACACCCCTGATCTACTCGGTATTCAGAGATAGCTCTAAGGCACTATTCCTTTAGTCTACGTTCTTATAGATACGCCCTCCCCCTTCTTCCTCTTTTATCATGGTGACATCCTCGGCACCAGGCGCAGCCCGGCGTGATAAATACAAGGCACTGGCGGCTACTACTGGCGCCACCCGACCTTCCACTACCTAACTAAGGGGACGATGATTACCTCGGAGACAAATCGCAGCGACTGAAGGCGACACGTCGAACGGAGGCGTTGTCCCTGGCTCCCTCCCCGGCGGTGATCCCTGACCTGTGGTGGCGGAGGTGTTCCCGTAAGCCACAACGAAAACAAAACAAATCAAATAGCTAACGAGCTCGAGGAACTACCCACGAAGACCCTTGAGGTGATGGTCTGGCTGGAGAAAGTCCGAGGTGAGTTGGCCGCGTGCGCACTGACGATGCAACGGCGCCCGGTGATGGCACGTCTGCGTCGGTGATGGCTAGCTCACTGTAAGGCTATGGCTGAGGTGCACGGGGTGCTCAGGAGGGTACGACTAAGCTGTCAACGCAATGAATTGCTGCGGGGTGCTCGGAGTGGATGGCTTGTCGACGGTGCGCGTTCGTCTGGTCTTATGGACCCGATGAGCGGCGATTCAAAATTGGAGCATAGGACGGAGCTACAGGCGGCGATGTGGGGTCGGTAGGACTGTAGGCTACCTAACGGAGTCGAGGACATAGTCAATTTGTAGCAAGGCACAGCTACCACGGCGAATTTGAAAGAACCGTCTCGGCGGCCATGGAGACAGTGGAGGCAGGGGAGGGTCCTGGCGTGGCTTGGCTCGGTCTAGCTGCGAACGTCAACACAACAAACAAACACGCACCACAATGGGGATAGCGGGACATGCCCCAGGCGACTGTCCTCACGGCCGCGGCTGCAAGCCAATGAGGCTCGGCTCGGCATCGCAGCGGCGGGCAGCGCCAGACAAGTGAACACAGCGGACGCGACGTCGAGGTGACGGTGAAGCAGGTAGTCGTCTAGAGCACAAGCAGCCAAGGGAGTCAATGGAGCAGTGGCGTGCGTGGCCACTGGCGACGTGAAGCATGGGACCCGGTGCGCTTCCGGCCAAAACAGGGCAGGAGATGGCGCGGCAGCGGGATACGACCGGCGCGGCAGGCCACAGTCGGCGTCAGTGTGTTAGGCATGATGAGGCGACCCGCGCGCCAGCGAGTGGCAGCAAGCAGCCAAGGCAGTAGCGTCAGGGCCCATGCGTGCATCGCAATCACGGCGGCACGAAGACGTGGCTTGCGCGTCGGTGCACTAGGGAGCCATCAGCAGCGACAGGCGAGCAGCAGCGGTGGTCGTGGCCAGCAGCGGTGGCAGATGGCCTTGGCACACAGCGCAAGGTCGGGCGCGTGCATAGGCATGGCGGTGGGGCGCAGGCAGAGTGGCAGCATGCGCTGGCAAGCCAGCCACAGTGCCAGGCCAGCAGCAGGTGGTGATCGCGCTCAGGGCTAGGCCATGTGCCGTGCACAATTTTTAAAGCAGTTCAAAAACTTGTACCCGATGCTCCAAACGCCAAACTATTTGCTCGATGCGCAAAAGGGTACATCAAGCTATCAATCGAAGTTGTGACATCGCGCTGCTTCCTAAGCCGATCGTTCTACAAAACTTGCCAAAGGTAGCTTCGTCGACCTTCTTTCAAACCTACACGAACTAACATTGTTTTGAACGATTTTGCGTCGAACCCCAAATCCGACCTACTTGATGTACTAACTAGCTATCCTTGTCCTCGACCGCACATATTTCATCGCCGTTCGCAACAACGTTCTATATCATTTTCGTTCGACAAATTTCGTTTAAGTGACACGAAACGTAACCTTGCTTCATGTTTCATATAAATGTTTGAAGTGCCAAACATTGATTTATAATTCATGTTATACACATATGCACATAAATATGATGTTCATGCGATGTTTTAGCAAGAACAGTACAATGTAACACCGATGGTGTTACAAATGGCCCTCCTTGTCCTTCTTGCCCTTCCCCCTTAAAAAAGTCCTAGTCTCAGATTGTTGAAGTGGCCTCATCCTTTGCTGGTGTGCTGGGCCTGATGGACTACGTCGCTATGTTGTATGCAATCCGGCGATCGACAAATGGCATGTACTGTCGCGTAGCATCCATTTGTTGGTCAGGGTCACTTAGATTTTGAACCAACATCCTCGCACTTCCATGTGATTGAATTTGTTAAGGTGGAGGGTGCGTGCGTAGGTGTGGAGATCTACTCATCTAAAACTACAGCATGGATCTTTAAGGAATCTGAATGGGGCGATGGTAGTATTGTTCTACGTTCAAAATCGAGAAGTGTTTTTCTAAATGGTTTTATGCACATGGTTGAGTACTCTATGATAGTTGCTGTGGATATAGAGGGAAAGACATGGTGGACAATTCATAAACCTGGTGGTGCTAAAATATCCATCCATCAAGCTCAGGGTCACCTGTGTGTGTGCTGTGCTGATTTTCGCAATAGGTCTTGGCTTTTAGCGTGGATACTTGAAGACTATAGTACTGATAACTGGAATTTAAAGCATGTTGTGGACACGAAGGAACTATTTGGACGCATGAATATTAAAATTGGTTTTGAGTTTTGTGATGAGGAGTACAGAGTGATTATAGTTCACCCAGAATGGAATTTCATTTTCCTTGTTGGGAAGGATAGAACATTGATTGCATATGACATGGATCGTAGAAAGGTTCATGTCATTCATGCCCGTGTCATCCGCTTTTGTAGATCAAGAGGGCGTTTTCATATGAACATGCCTTACTATCTTTCTTATGTTTCCTTGTTCATAGAGTCATTAGCAGAACGGTAATGGTGCATTTCCTACATTTCGTCATCATGACAGTCTTTGTTCAAGTAGGCTGTTGTTTTCATTCTATGTATGTATAGGCCAATTTTGGCTTGTTAACTAAAGAAATGATATTCAATATTATTAATTATGCTACTTTGTTTAGGTTGTGGATCAGAGATGAATAAGAGGGGTTCCATGGTGCATTGGCTACCAATCTGAAGGATGCACAAATTATATTCATTTTGCCTTACAAGCAGGAGTGCCACATATAAGGAGCACAACTACGTCGTTTTGTTATGTAAGTCTGTATAGATCAGTACCTTTAGTATGTTCTATGTACCGCTTGTGTTAGGACATCAGTTGAGAAAGATGTTATGGTAGCGTCCATTGTTATTGTAAAAAGTACTCTTGTTTGTGAATATGATTTATGGATGTAATAATTATATATCTATATGCTTTGTGTTCATTAAGCTATTAAGGGCCCAGCTGAATTAGTAACTATTGTGAAACGGGATGAAATTCTATCACCATCGCTATAGGTATGATGTGGCAGGGATCAAAAGTATATCACCGCCGAATCTTCTAGTAACCTGACATCGACTAAATGATCATCAAAGGCGGATCGTGGTGTAAGGCGATGGTGACCATGACCTTTGTACTGACGGATCATACGCTGAAGCGACGGTGGTGTTAACCTCTACACAGGCGTCTCGGCCGTCGAACCGATAGTGAACCCACATTGCTAATAGTCGGGTCGACATACAAGGCGACGGTGCTGGTGACCACTACACAGGTGGTTGATGTGCCCACATGACGGTTTTGATAGCCTCGACACAGTCAGATCATTTACCAATGCGGCGGTGTTAGTGTACATCCACAGCCGGGTCGTGCTTCAATGCGACTAAAGTAAGGACCTAATCACGGACGGATCATAAGCCAATCGACAGTGTTAGTGTACACCACAGTTGATCCCAAATGGCGACGGTGAAGGCTATGACCATCACTGTCGACATATCACTGCCGAGGCCAAAATTGAACTACGGTGTGGGTTATGATGCAACTACGAAAGATGCGAGTATAGTAGTGAACTACTAAGTACATGGTACTAGGTGTGTGTAACATAGTCTTATTGTGCTGTTAGTATGCACTGACGGACACTCCATCACAGCTCATGGACGCTCCGTCAGGTTTGGGACTTAAACATCTTCGGTGTTTAGTCCTCATCGGATGGTCCATGATAGTCAATGGACACTCTGGTAGGAATTGGGGGCTCTCGGGTTATTTAGAGACCAAGCTCTATAATTTGGCGGACACTTCGGTAGTGAGCGCGGACACTCCGCCAAATTATATTATGTGAGACAAAGGATAAGCTTATGTGCATGAACATAATGAGATGGTGCACAAAACATGTCTCACAAACATCATATGCTCAAAGCAAGCTAACAAAGCAAGTTTTATGACTTTTAAGACGCCTAGAGAATAAGTTGTCTATTTATTACACTAAAAAATGCATTATTCTACATCAAAATTAAGATATACTTTTTGGTGTCAAGATCATGTCTAGATGATAGAGAATATCCTAAAGAACACAACAAAACTTGTTTCATAATTTGTGAAGTTCAAATGCATCTTCTATGACCTTTACAAGTTGGGGCTATGCTGCTGTGGTACAGCGGACGGTCCGCGAGCGGTGGACAGTCCGCCAGGGTTGAACACGTGCGCCAGAGTGTTCTGCTAGGACGAACACTGGCGCCGACGGACAGTCCGCGAGAATGACAGACCATCCGATAAAACGACGAACAGCTCGGGTGTAAAAACGTTGGAAATGATTCCTGGGGCATCCGGGTTACAAATCAAGTGCAGTTTGTTTCTATGGCTTACTACTGATGTGGGGAAGCCTCTACAAGTGATGGATGTGACATGAATGTGCTGCGGGAAGGTCGTCCACCAAAAATGGTGAATCTCACCATGGGCGGCCATGGAGTTCATGGGGGAACTTGCTAGGGTTAGCGAGGATGAAGATGGATGCCGTGGGGGTTCTCACCATGCCTTGGGGAAGCTACAAACGAAGTAGCTCGGTCGGGGACGCAGCATGGAGGGAGATCGAGCTTGGGTTCCATGGAAACTCGAGGTTGAAGAAGGTGCTCGGGGTGGCCTTCTCTTCCAACTCCGTTGAACTTGACAGCGTGGATGAGGTGCAACATGGTGCCGACGATGCCCTCCTTCTTCCTTCCTTCCCTTCCCCTTCTTCTTCCTTCTCATTTCCTTCTCTTCTCTCCTTTCCCTTTCTCTCTTTTCTCTCTTCTCTGTTGCTAAACGTGAATGTGAGAATGAGGGAGATGGAGAGAGTGGAGAGGCTGGTGGGGGTTTTGTGTGTGAGTGGTGCCAATGACAAGTGAGACCATATGTGGTGTGTGTGACACCGAATCAAACTACATGAGACAGGCGTCGGTGTGTTTTATCGGATAGTCCGTCAGGTGCGGCGGACTCTCCGCTAGATTGGCTGAGTGTGCTACGGTTTCGATGGACACTCTGTCGTGAGTGACGGACACTTCGGTATGAACTGGTCACTCTCGGGTTGCTGGGTTACTGTCCTCTATAATTCATCGGATACTTCGCTGGATACCACGGACACTCCGTCATTGCACGGGTTGGCCAAGATTATCCTAAGTCTGTGAGATGTCTTGAGGGACGATCCGATGGTGATGTCGGACGATCCGCCAAAACTAGCAGTGCTCGGTTTTGGGTTGGCCTAGGCACAAGTCAGATCCTAATTTGGATTAAAACATGCACACTTGGATGGTCAGAAATGACTACCTATACGGCAATGATTTTTGGGTCGTTACAAATCTCCCCCCTTAGAGAAATCTCGTCCTCGAGATTTAAAAAAGGCCGAGGTGAGGGAAGACATCAATGTAATTTGGAGTACGACACATCGGTCAAGAATTCTAAGGTTAGACAAGGTGACTTTGAGAGTATAGTTTAGTTGGACAAGGGTGTCTCTCAAAGGAGAGTGCATTAAGCATGGATTGGTATAGGAATTAGCAAGCAAATTCGTATCATCCATGTAAGAAGGATAGCATGGACCTTAGACATCAATGAAGGATTTGTCGGAGTCACTCATTGCAAAGAAGGAGAGTATTTGGGAGGGCATCACTTTCAATAAGAATGTCCATTGATGAGATGTTACAATGGTCGCGACAATTTCTTTGATACTCTGGGGCATCCATAAGCTACTCATGTGGTTAGAATCCACATGGAGCCTCGGTTCCTTGCATCCTCAAAGGAGAGATGTTTGTACCATTGCAAGGCACACTATTTATAAAACATCTTATTGAAAAGAGCAATGCAACAAGTCTTAAAAAAAACATGAGGATGTGACCAAGACATATAAGGAGGTATGTTGGTCATCAAGGAAATTTGGAATAGCCATGCAAGTTAGAACAGCTCACTAACGTGGGTCCATGATGGATCATGACAGCATATTCCTCGACGCTCACTGCACTTAGTAGTAGCACCACGCATGGTCTGCAAAGACACACCACGAGGGGACTCCGTGTTCCATCACGGCACCTAGGTCAGCGATCATAATACCATAATAGAGCACACTAACAAAAATAATCCCAACTAGCACGAGATGAAAGGATGTATCAAACTATTATGGACACGGTGGAATGTCATTTGACCCTAGCTATATTTAGGGCCATTTTGGAAGATTTTTTTTTGAAAAAATGAAAACTATTTTCTATGAAATTCCTATGATAATTTACTATCCATTGTTGATGAATACAAATGCCACGATAGTATAAAAGTGTAATAAATCACCTAAAGATTTGTTAATTAATTTCGTATTAATTTGATACACGTGTGATCAGAAAAACACAAATAACACGTCATCCTAAAGCGCAAAGTATTGAAACTTACGTGATGGCGTGCACTATACCATACACAAAACACGACAATCTTCTTATAAAAGTTAAACCATGATGAATTGATGACACATCCCACAAACGGACCAAAAAATCGGCCACACATACTCTCCTCGTTCCCTACAAGTAAACCAAAGCCTACAAAAGCCCTAAAAGCCAAACAAAACCCCCCAAAAAAGTAAGTGCAAGAGGCCAAAATCACACGAATGTCATTCATGTTCGCTTGTTGATTTCAGTCAGGGGTTATCAGCTATGTTATAGTATTTTTCTCTCACAACAAACCAGCACCAGCTAGACTTATCAGCCCAGAAATCAACCAGCTAACCTGCTCCAAATCTACTGCATCTACATCCCCTGATTTAAATGCTGCCAAAAATCTAATCGCATTCACACACTCCATTAAACTAAAAGCTCAGCACAAACCAAATCACCACGACACTAACCCACCTCGCCGTGGGCCCCGGCCGTCAGCCTCCAGCCGCGTGCGTCTGCCTCGCACTCCCGCGGCCCCTATAGACAGAGCAGCCGCTCGCTCTACAGAGGGGGGCAACGCGAGCAGAGGAGGAGAGGAGAGAGATGGGGGAGGAGGAGAGGACGGCGCGGCGGAGCAGGCGCGGGATCTGCAGGACGCGGCGGCGGCGCTGCTGACACGGGCGCGGGCGGAGGAGGAGGCGCTGCGCCGCCGCGCGGCCGCGGTCCAGGGGGAGCTCCGGCGGCTGTGCGAGGCCGCCGCAGCGCACGCCGACAGCGACAAGGTGCGCTCCTCCCGACGCACTCCCGCTCTCTGTGTGTCTGTGCGCGCGCGCGTGCCTCCCGAACCCCCTGTGTGTTTGTGACTGCGCGCCCGGCGGCGGATGCGTGTCGGTGCGCGGAGACGTTTGAGGAGATCGCTCGCCGCGCGGGTCCCCGGCTGCGCCTAGGGTTCGGCGCGCTGCTGGCTTGGCTCTGCATGCTGCGTCGCTGGGCGGTGGGTGGCTCCGGGATCGCCGGGGAGATCTGCTTCTGTGGAACTGCGATTCGGCCTGCTGTAAAAAAGTGCCAGCTTTGGTCGCGTCAATGCGCTGTGTAGTCTGGGTGTCTGAGGGGGGAACTCTTGGTGTTCCTTGGGTTCCTGAATCGCTGTGCCATTTTCCGTGATTGATCCTCACAATGTGCGTGATTGCTCGTGTTGATGTGGGTGTGGTTTTGGCCAGGTTGAGGAGGACTTGGATCGAGCAACGTGCCTCATTGCTGACGGCGATGTTGCGGCGCTGCTCCCGAGCAAGACGCAAGGTTATTTGAGTAGTTTTAAGCTTCGTTCATCTTGTTCTTGGGTTTTGTCATCTTTCTTTTTCCGAGAGTGAAGCCTGTGTTTTATTTGTAATAATGTCCTGTACTTCTGTTGGGTTTGCAGGCGCTTTTCTGAAAATGTTCTTGGGACCAGTAAATCTGCGGGCAACAAGGAAGGAGGTGCAGCTCAAGGTGAAGGAGGAGTACAATAGCTACAGGGTATGTGTCAAACTGTACTACTATTCATGGTATTCTTGGTGTCAAGTTGTGTTTTCCAAATGAGGACTTTGGGTGAATCATATAATCGCGCTGGAGGCACTAGTTGATTTAGAGTTTTGAAATTTGGCTTGTTCTTTGAACCAAGTATCTTGGGAACAATGTTATTTTAAGTTCACTCAAAGCTTCCACTAAGTGAAAACTTGCACTGTCACAATGTGTAATTTATCTTTAGCACAAAAGGTTGTTAGACTTCAGGTTACAGGTCTGTGCTGCTCAACCGACCAAATGTTTATAATAATTCTGTTTGTATCTAATGCTATTCAGTGAACATAGTGGTCTAACTTGTGGGAGTTTTATCCACATATAAAATTTTGAAGTAAATAAATTTAAATTAATGTAACTCTGATTTTCCTCTGAAACTATAACCTTGTAGGTTCGAGTTATGTAAGTTTACAGAAATAGCTAACACAACATCCCTCTTGATTCCCTCACTTTTTCCTAGTGAAACAATCAACATGAATTGGATCGTTCTATGTTATGTTTGATCATCGTTAAGTATACAAACAAGAAACTAGATGCATCCTTTTACTCTCTGCTTTTGCAAAAGGAATCTTAGTTTAGCTATCAATGTTAGATCCTTGGATAATAGATCCAGACTAGCTAGAAAGTTTATTTTGTTTATAATCCACCTTTTCCCCTGTTTCCAGGACAGAACTGCCTTGCTGTTTCTTGGTTTTCCGGTGATTCTGTTGTTTCTTCGAAAATGGTTATGGAATGGATGCTTTCCAGCATTGCCAGTTCAGCTATACCAGGTACACTCTAATGCTTGCTTGTGTCAATGCAGCAATAGTTGAATTAATCCTATTTTTCATGCCACACCAAAAGACACTGATATCTCAATTTACCTTGTACAGGCTTGGTTGTTATTCCTGTATACTAGTTTAGCTTTGCGTGAGAACATACTGCGAGTTAATGGAAGTGATATTCGTCCTTGGTAAGGATCACTGATGCTCTGGCATATAATATCTGCAGAAACTAAGAGTGTTGTGGCCTGTAAAAGCTTTTTTAAACTAACGCATGTGGGATAACTTCTGTTTTCCAAGACCTATTTATCCACTATTCCATTTGCCTTCTTTTTTGCCGGTTCCATATTGTGACCGTCTCTTCTTCTTGTTTTCTCCCTTAAGGTGGATACTTCATCACTACTGTGCCATGCTGATGTCTCTTATAAGTCTCACATGGGAGATAAAGGGGCAACCTAATTGTGCACGCAAGCAGGTATGCATTTTAGATCTTTCCATTATGCAATGTATACAAATGCCTGTGCTTAACCTGTTTCTTCTTTTGACAGAGAGGCGTTGAACTTTTTCTGTGCTGGGCCATAATGCAAGGATTTGTTATGATGTTGCAGAATAGATATCAGCGTCAAAGATTATATACTAGGATTGCTTTGGGGAAGGTAATATTCTGACAAAAATGGAGGATCTCAGTATCTCACGCTTGTCTTGAGAGAATTTACTTCATTCCATCACAGATATAAAATAATCTAGGTTTGTCCGGGACTCAAATTTTGTTTAGCTTTGATCATCACTATCTTAAATTTTTATATAGATTTAAAATACAAGGTTCAAAATTTATGAAAGTATTTCTTATATCGAGTCTAACAATGTCAATCTTGCTTTACCAATCTTTATATAATTTAGATGTTGATGGTCATAGTTGAAGAAGTTTGACATAGGAGTTAGGACAAACCTAAATGGACTTATACTTGTGATCGGAGGAAGCACACAATTGGCATGGTCTACCCATCTTTCTATACATTGCAGGGCATTTAGTCGCCAGTTACTTCAGTAAAAGTAATATTTTGTAACTGGAATTTTGCTTTGCCATCAGGCTAAAAGAATGGATGTTGTATGGGGAGAGACTGCTGGCGTTGAAGGTCAATTGTTGCTGTTGTGCCCTCTCCTTTTCTCTTGCAGGTATTCTTTCTTCTGATAGCTGCATGCTGCCGAACATGACAACCTGCAGTTACTGCATAACCTCATCTAGGGTTATACATTGCAAACTTAATTTTCCTATTCAATGTCATGAAATTATCTTTGCATATTCTTTAATAAATAAACGATGCTTTTGTGAGAATTTCTTGATGACAGTGCCAAGTCTTCTATATCGAATATCATTACTATTGATTGGTTCATGATTGCATCATGCAACATGATGTTACAATCTTCTCATAAACATATGCCCCCTGGAGGAAACATCTGATTGTTCTTTTTCCTTTTTGTTTAGGGATTTGAGGGTTATGTCGGGTTTTACTTCTTCGCACAGCTCATATTGGCGTCGTCCCTGAGTGGCAGGTCAGAGACTTTAGCTGTTAATGAACTAGGATCCCATTGTATTTTTAGTTGTTAATGCAACCAGGATTCTGTAGTATTTTATCCGTGTTATAAGCTTTGTGTTATGTCACAGGTTGTGGTCTGCGGGATCCTGCTGATTGCAATGGCAATTGGTAACTTTGCAAACACAGTAGACACCTTGATGGCTAAGTCCCGGTTCAAAGCGAAGATGAAGAAATCAAAGGGCAAACGGGATCTCGATACATGCCCCTCACCAACAGGTTCATCGCCGCAGATTCAACAACCAAAGCATGAAAAGTTCAGGAGGAAAAGTTGCTTATCCTATGAACATTGCCCGTGTTTAACCAGGGTTATACCATTGTAAAGCATTAGTGTTTTTTTTTGCCATCAGCTCCTAATCCTGGGCGTCTCTGTCAAAGCTCATACTCATGTAGGCAACTAGGTTGCTGATGGTCCTAGGCTGAAGGTTAGCGAGAATAAACTTCTGGTGTTTGTTTATATCCTTGTTTATACTTCTATCCTGAACATCGAGTGGGCTAGATGAACTTAGGACTGTAAGGCTTAGCAAAATTTTCCCAGTATAGTTGTGAGACACATTTGTCACAATGAAACATGTGAAGTTGTATACAAGTTGTGGCATTATATTGCTTATTCTCCACTTGTATGTTGGTGCGCGCTTCCATTGCACTCTTGACAGTTTTGTGTGAAAAAACTCCGCGCCTTTGTGGTCTATCAGAACAAGAAGTACATGATGAAATGTAGAGTGCATGAACAGCCCCGACGCCTTCAGTTTCCCATGAATGGTATCAGTTATGCCAGTGCTATTGCTTAATCTCCCCTGAATGCACCCATACACTAGCTATTATAGCTAGCGAAACATGTACTACGCATGAATACTGTAAACAAATAAATCAGTTAACACTCCATGTGGATCAAACCAAGCCATTTAATAATTTGCTGGCAGCATTAGCATGCTGCTGCATGGATCACAGCAAGCATACATACATTGTGTCCAATACATTCAATGAAACTGAAAAGCAACACTTGAACACCATGGGGTTGGGTTCTGTGGAGGCATCAAACCCAGCCTCTTATTTCAATTTTCAAGCTCACACGCACACAGATAACCAGGCAAACCAAACCAAAGCAAAATGATACATCAATCAGTTACAGTCTCTCAAGACTCAATAGAGACATGTACACACAAATTCACACCTCCTGTAGTATCAAGCACACACATCAACACCGATGTAACAAACTTGGTTGATGCAAGTAGGCAGGTAGCATCAGAAACCAAGTTATTTATTCATTCTTGAGAAAACACACCGAAGACTTGCCAAGCAACACAAACCAACATGGTTGACCACAGCAGCAGCAGCAGCATCAGTACTGCTATATATGAAGAAGCACCCAATGACAGAAGAAAGCACTGTCTGTCATCATCCCTGTCGATCCAACACTAGATTAATCTACAGAGAGTGATCCAACATCAGTACGCGGAACAAGAAATGAAATTAACTTGAAATAAATTACTACAAATAATTAAGGGGAGGAAGATGCTTTATCATGCGTGTAACGTACCAGGAGAAGAAGGAAGCTAGCAGCAAGTAGGTGATCATGTCGGCTAGCTCAGCGGAGAACCGTGCTCCTCAGGTGACGCCTCTTGTAGTACTTGGAATGGCTCGGCTGGAAGAGGGAGGGGTGGTCGCCAGACTCCATCCCATCCCACTCCAGCTTATCCCACCAATCCTTCTCGCAGTCCACGGCCACAGGGCGGCCATCTTCACGGCGGCGACTGTCAGTGGCCGGGAGACGCCTCAGGCCCCAGCAGCCTCTGATATAGATGGTCTCGAGCTTGGGAGCAAACATCTTGGCCTCGCATATCTGTTGCAGATTCGGGAGCTCATACAGGTACAGGCTCTTGAGGTTTGAGAATTCCAGCATGCCTTTTTCATGTCTGGCCGCTATTTCCTCCAGAAACTCTTGCTCCACGAGGAAGACCTGCTTGAGATCACCGCAACAGTGTATGTGGAGGGTCTCCAGCACCTCGGATAGGGTATTGTTCGGTGCCATCGGGAGGACATATCGGAGCCTGGGGCAGTAGTGCAGACGAATAGTCCTCAGTCTTGTAAAGGAAAAATAACCTGAATCCAACCTCGGATTTCTTGGTCTGCTCCAAATAGAACGGGCCATCAAGAGATGAGCCGCCCAAAAGATTTTCAACTGATAGAAACATATCCGATAATAGTCAGTGGCGAAGACAGTATCCAACTTGGGGCATCTCTCCACGCAGCACCACTTGAGCCCATTCATTATATATGTCCCAGAAGTGTGTTCAGGGTCAACACTGGTGATGGAAGAACTGTCGTGCACGTGCAACGACTCCACACTGTCCATCACTTCGCGTATTGCATCCCTTGCCCGCGTGCTGGACTTGTCGGTGACGTCACTAATTCCCTCGCCAATGTCCATGTGCAAGTCTAGTGGCAGAAATTGCGCTGAGCTGCTGCTACTGCTGATATCGATCTTTGCAGATATCTGTTCAGTGCTGATGTCATGGTAGGTTAATGACTTGGGCAGAGACAGAGCAGCAGCTAGCTGTCCAGTGCTATAATGACTGCCCATCTTTTCCTTGTGGCAGCCTCTTCCATCATCATCGCTGGTAGATGACAAGCAGAGATTCCACTTATCACATCGAATGGTTTCCCTTGTCCAAAGAAACTCCAAGGACTGAAGGAACCTCATGTCTGCAACGGCAACAGATGCATGACAATACTCCTTTACTTCGTCGTGCTGGTAGACCATCAAAGAACAATCACGTGACCATGCTGGTTTTCTGTTGTCCACCTCTCCTCCTCTTGCCCGAGTGTCAATGCACAACAGCCTTAGTTTGTACATTTCGGTTTTGGGCCAAGAAATTGAGCGGAGCTGCCCACATCCCATCAAGAAGAGCCGCTGAAGATTTTTCACTTTAACGATCGCTCCAAGGTCAAGGATTTTGATTGCTGTGTGCGAGAGGTCCAGCTCCTCAAGGTTTGGCAGTGACCCACGCAGTATAAAGTTTGCTAACCTTACACACCCAGCCAAGCTGATGTAAGATATTTCAACATTCTTCTTCTTGAGATCCTCATCTTCTCCTGCGGTATTCAATGAGAATGATTCAAGTGATGGAGGGAGTTGTTGAGGGCCAACATGCTCCAACCCAACACAACCATCTAGAATCAGTGTCTTGAGGCTTGTTGCACCCGAAAGGCTCGGCAAGACTTGTATGGTGCTGTTCCCAGATAGGTCAAGGAGCTCCAGATTCACCATAGCCATGAATTCATCTCTTCTTTCTGTCTCCCAAGGGTTTGTGGGCTCAACTACTTGGAGCTTGTGAAGGTTCGGCAGGCGTCTCCATGCAAGGTTGCTGGTCCAAATCCTTCCGTTGGTTATATGAACCTCTCTAATGTCTGTAGCCACCACTTGCTCTTCTGTTTCTGGGGGAAAAGCCAATGGCCAATCCGTGTGGCATACATCTAGCACCCATAGCCGCTGAAAAATTTCCACCGCTCGTTCACCTGTTTTCTCCTCCTCCTCCTCCTCCCCATGTTGTAGTCCATCCATGCATCTATCCAGTCCAAGGAATCTTAAGCTGCGGCAGCAATGGAATGGAGGTGATGAAAAGCTGAAGGTACATCCATATAACTTCAGTACTCTGAGTTGATCCACTTTACGGAACTTGTCACTAGTTAATGGTACCACTTGTGGACTCGACTTGTTGGGTGCAAAGAACAATGTTGTTGCCTCTGGAGGAACCTCTTTGAAATACGATTCAGTAATAGAAATCCATTGTTTCGAGGAAAGATCCAACATGCCCACAGACCCCATAAGCTCTGCATTGGATGAGTAGTCTTCTAGTCTTATATGCTGCTGCAGAGCATGAGCAACCTCCCATGTCTGGTTGTCCTGTCCTCCTATGATCCCATCGCAAACCCAGTAGCAGGAAGCATGGGTTGCCCAGTTGTAGTCAATCATCTTCTTACCTTGGTTATTCAATGACAATAGGTACAAGCAACACTCTGTGGCTATTTTAGGTGTAACTCCAAGGCCAAGCTTATATGTGTACAAAGAGATTTCTCTAGCCTCTTCAGCAAGGTTTGCATTCCAGTTCATGTAATGGTCAGCATGAAGAAAAAGGTGCGAAGCTTCTACCTTGTTGTAAATTCTGTTGTTGAGACGAAGACGTCCTCTAAAAGTCCACAATACCTTAGTACCTAAGAATTTGAGTGCTGGAATGCCAAAGTCGGTCAAGTCAACCACGTCCTCACTCCCATTGTGAAAGATAACTAAACATCTATACTGTACTAGGTATCGACCTATCACTCCTGTTATGTCTCTAACCACAGCTCTGGAGCCATGGTCTACCCCACTGAAATCGTCCTCCTCGTCTTGCGCGTCAATGGCCACTACCTGTTGAGTGAGCTTGAGCTCGTCTGCGATCACCCTTTGCAATGCTCTTCGGCTCTTCCACATCCAACAGTCAATGTGGATGATCCTGTCGAATTTCTCTCGTAAAGATCGTGGAGGCTGCTCTGCAATAGCTCTAAGCACCGCAGACGCACCCAGTCCAAGCCATCCGTCGAAGTAGATGAACTGAGGTGCATCGTTGCTTGTGTCCTCTAAGTAAGGAGATATTTGTTGTACTGCCGTCTTGACATCGACCGCCCTAATTTCCTGTATTTTTTGTTTGAAGCCAACAATTAACTAGTTAACGTCACTCTCACGCGACAAACACAGTGACTAGCATGAGCAGCAGAGTATCTTTCTTTTTCTTCTTCTTTTTTCTTTGGTTGGAACTTAACATGTGCTCAAAAGCAAATGAACTAATATATCTTTAGTTAATTATTGCATCGGTGATGAAAAATATTTGTGCACAAGGTTTTAAGAATTAATCAAGGTGTTTTATTTTCTGGATGGCTAATCTTATCAGTTTCGACTCCAAATCAAATAGAATTCAGGTACGTTACTTAGAATACGGGTACTGCTCGCCACCCTTGTCTCACATGGTGCCGCCACCACTCGCCGAGCTCCTGCCCGCCGCATGGGGCATCCAATGTTGTACTGTCACGTAGGGCGACAGTGACCACCATCACAGCCCTGAGCGCTGCCATTGACACCGTCCTCTATCGACGCTACAGCGCACGATCCGCTCAGCCAAACCGGCTGGCTGCAGCATATCGCAGCTTTGGTCCACGATGGCGGGGATCCGGTCCCCCTCCGTGCCGATCTAGCTACATTCCACCACGTTGCTGCCCTGCCTAGGTCGTGGCTGCAAGCTGTCCGTACTTATCTAGAGCTTGGAGTGAGGAGAGAGAGAGAGAG